GTACAGTTGTTTGTAAAATCTGGCATTGCCCCTCTCACTTCCTCCTCACCCTTCATCACCGCCTCATTGACTTAATACTCTAGGGGTGGGCATTGGTCAGTTCAACTCGATTTTGCAAAAGTTTACTTCGATGTTTCTGTTTTTGGTGTTTGGGTTCTCAATTTTGATAACCGATGTAGTAATTTTGATTTGGTTCGAGTTTTTCATGTTAGTTTCAGTTTAATCGTTTCTGTTTTGGGTTCATGTAAGAATAAATCTACTTGGATACGGCTACATAAGTTACAAAGAGTTGTTCAATAAAATTTAGCTAAGTTCGCTACTTTCAAAACTAAATAGACAAAACAAAAAAGAAAAGAAAAGCGAAAACCAAACACTTGAAACCGACTACCGAACTGAAGTTATAAAAAATTAACTGTGAACCAACCAAATAAACCTAAAAACCAAAATCGAAAATTTCAATTTGGCTGGTTATTTCAGGTTTTATGCCAACCCCTATGATACTCAAAGAAATTCCCCGTCCTATTCGCTACCGCTAACATGTGAAAAAACTTAGTATTACCATTCTCCTCCTTTAACCACCATGCCGTCAAACTCTGCCTACAACTGGTCTTGGGTAATCGCCAAGCCATCTCTCACTTGACCTCCTCCTTACACTCCCTTTCCTTTGGATCCCTTACCCCTTCCAATCTTTCTATTTCTCCAAAACTCATTCATCGACTCTTTCATCTTCATCTCTATCCTCCCAAAGACGACTGCATAATTACTCCTCTACTCTTTGACTCTACCTCCAAAGTCCGCAGCCTTGAGCCAACCAGAAAGGAGTACACTTGCAACACAGAAAGAAGATGCATACTACTTTCATTCTGATTCAGATGGATGAAGACTAACAATCTGCCTTTATTTTCATGTAGTGGACCATCCCCTTTTTGTATACAAAGGAAAATGATTCTCTCGAAACACTCATTCCTCTTTGCTCCTAACCCGTTAAGTAAGCCATAAACTGTTAGAATGTTAAAAATTAGTGTTAGAATGGTAAAGTTTAGAATATCTTTATTGATGAGGTAAATATTTGTATTAATGTTGGGAAAAGCTCTGGTACACAAGCAATGTAACAAAAAGTAGAGTACATACACCAAATGCCAAGTTTAAAATATTAGTATAAGAGTTATGTTCTTAAGTTGAATACTATCCCACATCGGGACAAATATCATTTGCGTACTGTGTTTGAAACCTAATATGTGTGTCTTGTATTCATCAGATGATTAAGTCATCTCCTTTCTTCTTTTAGTTTCTCACGTCAACAAACTTGAATGAGTGCAGTGAGTTTTTACATAGATACATTGTTGTCTATCTCTTCCTTACCCCACCTTCTCCTATTCAATGAACCAAGGGACACGAGAATTAACGTAAAATTTCAGAAGATTGCCTGAAGGTTTTAAACTATTAAGCTATTTTCTTCTCCAATGTGAATAAGCAGTGAACTTTAGCCATCAGGTAGCTACAGAACCTTCATGCAACTCAACCAGCAAAATGGAAACGTAATAGTATAGAGGTTTTACCAAATGAAATGCAGTGATACAAGGATGAATATAAAGTTATAAAACTAAACTGTAATTCAGTACTAGATCTTTTTTGTTGAGAAAGGATTCAGTACTAGACCCTCAAAATTCATTTTCTTTACGTATGGGGTAAGGGAAATTAAACAAGACCCAGAATGAGAAAGAGAGACTGTTTCATTTCACTGCATAAATGATCAACATCATTTTGTTTCTAACCTTAATAAATACTCCTATGAGATATAAGCAACATTCTTTCAGGAGTTAGAGCTTCAGACAGTAGCATTAAGACGATTGTTAGACTGGATTGAATGAGAGGTTCTTCTGCAGAGCAGTGAAAAGCGTACATATCTGGAAAAATATAGGTTTCAATAGTAAACGGTTCAACATTAAATGTCGGAAATGGTATAAAAAAATTGTTACATTGAAATTGTTCTTCATTTCTTTCACATTTGTTTCTCATGTGTTTTAGAATTTGTATTCATTGACACATTTTAGTGATGACCACATCAATGCAAGTAAATGCAAATGACACAAAGTACCAATAACCACACACTCTCAAATAACGACTAGAAGGATAAGCATATTCACCGACGAGAAAATTTGCTATCACAAAACATACCTTCTGTCTCTTGAGCCTTTCATTCTCCTCTTCGAGGCGTGAAACCTTGTTCTCCAGTTCATGGGTGTAAGCCTGTTGATCAAAAGATAATATTTCAATAGCCATAGAGACGATATACTATATTCAAGACTCAGCAACATATTTCAAAAAGTCACCTGCTTCCTTGCTCGTGACCTAGCTGCAGATTCCCTATTCTTAATCATCCTCTTTTGCCTCCTTTCAACAGTCTTCTCAACCACATCTTCTGGTGCAACTCTCTTTCTTCCAAGTGTTTGTGTGTCCGATAATGTGCCCAACAGAGCAGTTGGGGACATTGTCATCTGAGATTCAGGATAAGCTGCATCCATTATTGGATTTGCAACAACAGCCAATGGCTGTTGAACCGAATGTCCAGGCATAAAAACAGGTAGCATATTCTGCTGTTGTGGTTGCTGCGGTGGTATCTGAGGCATTGCATAATGTGACCACTGAGCTTGCTGTTGTGGCAATGCCATTGAATCAGAGCCTGAACTACTTCTCTTGCCCGGAGTCGGCTCAGCAACCACTCCAGCCTTAACCAAAAAATCCTCGAGTGTCATCTCACCAAGAGTACGCTGCCTCTCCTGAATTTTCCTATCACTATTATCCCTTTTCTGCCCCTGCTGAATATCCTGCCAAACCTGATCAACAGTCTTCTTACACAGATCACCGGTTAGTGTAATGCTCGACTGTCGATGCAGAGAACTCCCCGAAGCAACCTGGCTATGCTGCAACACCCCGTAATCTGTTCCCCCCATTCCTTGACTAGCTTCAACAGTCCATACAGTCTTAAGAAGCTCATCAAGATTCATACTGCTTAGTGGTTTCCCCAAATCCCCCAATTGATTCTGAACCTCATCAAGTGTGAGGCTATATAATGATCCTTGCCTAGCCAAAGCATTGGGCTTCGGGTCTTGTGCTTGAGTTGCACCCATACTATTACCACCACCACCACCACCCTGAGATCCCATCACATAAATTTTCCACTCCAGAAAATCAATGCAAGACAACTTTTTTAACAAACCAAGAAACTAAAGTTCTAATCATTCAATGCTTTTAGCCAATGGTTAACATCACATAAATTTTCCACTCACCAGCCTGAATATACCCAACTAATCAACCACTCCAAAAATCAATCAAAGACTCCTTTTTTAACACACCAAGAAAGTAAAGTTCTAATCTTTCAATATTCTTTTAGCCCAATGATTCACATCAAAAGACATTTCAAGAAATCAAACCCCATTTATCACTTCCACTGAGAATCATAAAACCCATCAACAGATTTCAAAAATAATAATAATCAAGAAACAGAATACCCAGATCAAATTCAAGAAAATGCTAGGGATTGAGGTTAAAAAAAGAAGGGAGAAACAGTGTTACCAAGAAAATAAAGAAATACCCAAAAAGGGAAATAATCTTAGGGAATGAATTAGCTTGCATGCAGCAACATATGTCCAACATTCAGCCATGAGAGTACAAAAAACCCAGAAACCATATGCTGCTTTGCTGCCAAAAACCTGAGGCTCAATCTAACTTCAGGAAAGAATAGAAGCAGACCCACATTCTATTCTCTCTAGAAAAAGAAAAAAAAAATGTGCACTCCTATATAAAATTAGACATCCAAGACAACTTTCAAATAGATAATTAAACAATTAAATTAATCTTAACCCTTAGTTTAATATGCTAAGTAGTATTTATAATTGTCCAATTTTGACCTCACTCTTGCCTATGTCATCATTTTTATAGGATTGGTTTGGAACAAAGTTATTTATATGATTATAATTCCACATTTAATATGGATAAATAATATGAAGATTTTTGTGTAGAATTTATATCAGTAATAGCTTATACCTATAATCAAACACTAAAAAAGTTAAAAAGAGAGGTAGTGATCAATTAAAAAGTTATTTCAATTAAAAAAGACAGAAGTAAATCAAATTCGACTTGTTTAGTGGAGAAACCAACCTAGGACAAATAAAAGTTTAAAATATACCCACTTTGTTCTGTTTATTAATTAAAAAAATAAAGACAATGGGGTGAGTGTTTGAAGAGAAAAGGGCCCCATAGTATTCCCACATTTGGCACTTGATTCTCTACTTTCTTAAAACTTTACAATACCTAGGCCCCAGAGACCTGGTCTGTGCTGCTTTTCTCATCTTTTTAGGCATAGTCTTATTATATTGAGTAAAAACTGAACATGCTAATGTGACTTGGCAGTGACAACAGCTGATTGAGATGTAGTATATTTTATCTCATAACCACATGTATTAGATACATACTTACTCGACTATTTTAGATTCACTATTTTAGATTCACGTTGCGTAAATCATTAAAAGGGTTCCGATTATTTCAGATTTGTGTCGCATAGGGTCATTAAAAGGAAGAGCCTTTCTACCGAGAGTTTTTTTATTTTTAGAGCTCGATGAAGGAAGGTCATTCATCCCTTCATACTTCGAGGTGGTGTTGAGATGTGATTCTAACAAAACCTTAGTGAAATTGGTTATTTGCAAATGGATGGTTTTTCAGTTTCACTTTTCTGTTTCTGTTTGCTAGTAGGCATTTTGAATCTTTGATACTTCATAACTTGGAAAATCATATTGAGGGTCCACTACAAATCGTTTGGGAAAAGGTTAATTGATTCTTTTATCATTACCTAATATGGAAAGGATCTCTATATGTTCACACCTTTGTCGTTTTTTAGTTTGGCAATAGTAAAATAGTCTAGTCCACCATTGAGGGATAGCCGATAGGGACGCACAATTAAACGTGATATGAAATATGCTTAGTGTATTATGGAAGCTTGTGATTCTTGAATCATTTATGGACTTGAACCATGGACTTTCAAGTCAAAAAGATTGTCGATGCTCTTAGCTAACCATATCTGGCCTTTTTTCTTACTTTAAAAAGAAATAGGAGGTATGAAATATGAGACATCTAGTAAAAAGTGTATGATACAACGTAACTATATTATCTTAAAGGAACGGTAACACTTTTTAGTGAAAGAAGGTCTCCCCTCCCCTCTAGAATAACTACATGGACACAAACATCACACCACCAATTATCCCACGGAACTACCGAACAAGGCGACTTTTGGGTAAAACCGCTAAAGCCCAAGCTTTAGGCCCCCAACTTTAGGGGCCCCATTTTTCACCCTATAATTTTTTTAATTAAGTATTTTTACTCTTATTATATGTTTTGATAAAAAATAAAAAATGAAAAAAACATGTTTCTTAAAAGTGGGCTCCTAACGTATAAATGCAAAATTTATGGATGGAATCAAATGATTATTCTTTTTTTTTGAAACTTTTTTCTCGTTAAATATTATGTAAACCTTTTTCACTTCCTTTCTTGGTTTGCACAATATTCGATTTCCTTTTTAATTTTTATCAGTTCTCACAAAACGTTACTACTATTATATTTTTTCTTTGTGCCTCAAACAGATTATATTATTCCATATTTTTCGTCAATCAAGATAAAGCCTACCAGAAGTATATTGAAAGCAACAAATATTTATTTTCACATCAAATTAATGAATCAGGTTCTTCTGTTCCAACTTTTTAGTATTAGTTTTCATCTAACGTTTGTATTTCTTGATACTTTCAATATCTACGCATATATTATCCTTTTAGTATTTATTAAAATTTAAATATGTCAAATATAAAGTATGAATTCGGTTATTCAAAACTTAAGGAAAAAAAGTTGAATCTTTGATACAATCCAAAAAAGAAGAAATAATAGTACTCTAATTGATATACCCAATCCGATAAAGAGACTTGATTCTTTTTCAATACTTATATTGCATATAGAATAATGATAATAGTTCCTGTAACAGTTATAACTGGTCGTCCTCTATCACAAACTAGAAATTTGAAAGAAGTTTTTAAATTAAAATTGATAAATTTTTACGTAAGATCAACCATGGCGCAAGAGATTGAATGGATTAAATATATTATCAATTGAAAAATAACTATTAGAAGAAACTGAGTATAAAATAAATATTCAAAATTTTGCATCTGAAAAAACTAGAAAATTATATTTCAAATAAATAATATATATGAAAGTCTTTTTATTATAAAAAAAAAATTAAAAGGTCAGTTTGGCTTTAGACCTTCAATAGTATTGAGTCGCCCCTGCCACCGGATAAAAATAACCAAATGGACGTGGACAAACAGGCAGTAAGCCAAGCAGAGTATTACGAAGAGGAACCCCCCTCAAACATCAAAGATGATAAGAGGAAAGGAATTGATGGCCCAATTGCCTTATCTCAGGAAAACAATAAACGTCTATACCATCCATGGATATTTTCAGTAATCATAAAGGTCTTTGGTCGTAGAATGCCCCACCATGATCTCTGATCTAAGCTAACTGAACTCTGAAAACCATCTGAATAGTTAATTTTGATTGACTTAGGATGGGATTCTTCATAGTCAAGTTTAGTTTAGAGGAAAACATGGCTAAGGCGCTACACCTAGGCCCATGGTTCATCTCTAGGAGCTTCCTTTCAGTACATAAATGGGAACCAAAATTCGTTCCACAAGAAGCTACATTGTAAGCACGTGATTTTTGCGCTATACGAAATACTCCTATTAAATCAAAGAAAATAGATTTTTTCAATTATTTGCCATTTTATAGGATTTTGTAGGATTTTTATTTAATTGTTTGCATTTTGTGCATGTTTACCTTTTATCTTAATCATGAAAAAATATCAAAAATATCATGCATTACATTTAGGATTTGTTTTTACATTTTTAGAATTAACCAGTAATTATTTGTTTTATAGAAATTCGAAAATCATAAAAATAGCTCATTTTTACATTTTTGTCTTTTAATTTTTAGCTTATTAATTTTTCTCTTTTAATTTAGGATCAAGTAGCTTTTATAATTTTTATAATTATCTAATTAGTTTAATTTCACACTTTTGGATAATTTAGGATTTTTAATTTGTAGGATTTTAATTAAAAAAAAAGGAAAAATTAGAAAAAATAAAAGAAAGAATTGGAAAAAGGTTTGCCTTGTGAAATTGAATCAACTCACCCAACCCATATCTGATCCAAAACTCCCCTTGACCCAATCCCAAACCACCCATGACCGACACGGTTTGACCCAAGACCCTTTTAATTAAAACCTAATAAAAGCTAAGACCTAGAAAAAAAAGAAGATCAGAAGAGGAGATGGGGCAGACCCCTTAGAAATAGAGAGAAACGGCGCATCCAGCCCATTTTCTTCTTCTCCATTTCCATTTGTTCCTTCTTCTTCTCAAAATCATCTTCATTTCCCACACACTCCGTCGCGCTATCAATTTCACACGGATTCTAACCCTTTCCCAAGAGATAAAACAAAATCTTGAGTTCGAACCCTGTGAATCTTAGATCTGAAAGTAAGAAAACAGAGGAATTTTTGGGAGTGACAGGAACAGGAAATTTTGGGACTGAAATTCGAGAAAAGGGGGAAAAGATTTTTGTTTGGTTCTTTTTTTTTGTTAAGTTTCGGATTAATTTCAGAATTTTCTTTCAATTCCTAGAACAAAGATACAACAAAAAAATCGAGAAAAAGAAGAAAAGTTTGAGTTTAGTTCTTCGCTCCAGTTTTGTTTCTATTTCGAAATCAGAAAACAGAAAAAAAGAATAAAAAAAATTCTCATTCCCCGGCTTCCCAATTTCGGATTCTGTTCCAAAAAATGGAGTCGGATTGAACGACCTTGTCGCTATTCCCGTTGCTGGAGTTCACTCTTATTTCAGACCTTATTTGGTCAATTTCGCTGCTGCTGCTGTCTGTCTCATCGCTGAGCTCCCTGCTCCTTTCTTTGCTTTTAATCGGGCTAATTTCGTGATGTATTACTGCTGATTGAGGTATGAATTTCAGTCCAAAAATGATGTAATTAATTGTTGACGGCTAATTGTTTGTGACAATGAGTTAAGCTTTGAAATAATTCGTTGAGCGTTTGTATGACCTGCTGTTTGGGAATATTATTTATATGACATGTTGTTTGGCATTATATGCTCAACCAGTAGTTATGAAGTTAATTCAATGTGTTTCTATAACTATAAAAGATTATGGAGCTATTCGTTGTTGTTACAACAAATTGGTTAAGCCCCAATGTAATTGTTCTATTTAGTTTCTGCACCATATTAGGGTGAAAGTTAATGTTTTGTTGGTGTTAGTCCGAAAGCTGATGATGAGGCGATAAGGAAACAATATAGGAAATTAGCTCTCATACTTCATCCTGATAAGAATAAGTCATTTGGGACTGAAGGAGCTTTTAAGCATGTTTCAGAAGCGTGGAGCTTATTGTCTGATAAGAACAAGAAATCAATTTATCTATATAAGTGTATAACGTTCTGTGTTGAAAATCCTTGAGTGGAAAGGTTGTGCTCAAAGAATTTTTGTTAAAGACTTGAAGTGTTGGAAAAACTTTGGATCGTGTAGAGATAAGCAGTGCTTTAAGGAAACAACAACAACAATAACAACCCCGTATAATTCCACAAGCAGGGTCTGGAGAGGATAGTGAGTACGTAGACCTTACCCCTACCCCGAGAGAGTAGAGAGCTACTATAATCCATGGCCTTACAATAATCATGAACATTTGTAGTTTGCTTTAAATTGAATACAGTCCTTTTAGAATAATCGAGGCGCGCCATGCCAAATAAAATCTCAAAAATCATGGCCCTCATTTAATTTAATCCTTAGAAATTGAGGCGTTCCATTTTGTTGAATTTTCCATGGCCCTCACAAACTTGAAAGTGCGTAGTTGCTTTAGGCACGCTATTTAAATTAATTTCCTTAAACTCGGGT